CTCTTACCATTTGTGCCATGTAGCTGTGGCTGATGGGAGTTGGAGTCCAAAACTTTTGGAGGGCACCACATTGCCTGTTCCTTTAGGAAGTATCAGATATGGCTTGCTATCTTTTCTAATGCTAGTAATCAGTTAGTTCCGCAGTCCACAGATTTTTTTGTGAACACCAGCAAGTTGCATGTAAATTACTGTATGCAAGGATCTCCACACACCCAGCTGTGGAACAGACCTGGATTTGGGGTGAGGGTAGAATACAGAATAAGCTCACGAAGGTGGCATAAGATCAAGGTTTGGGAGACACTGGCATAGGACTTGAGAGGCTATTGAAAATGAGTGGTTCGTCTGCTCTTATTGTCAGGCATTAATCAGATTTCAGTGGGGCAGGTTTTAAGTACAGTATGTCAAAGTAGCAAATCTGCAGGAAAATGTCCCAAATGATGTGCTTAGAAAACTGTTGAAAAGTAGATGCTCTTAATAGTTAATCTGAAGAATGCTTAGGTGCACTGCTTCATGGGTTGTTAAGTTTAAGTGATATGCTGATCTTGTTGGACCATATGCTGACTGGGCTTGTCTAGGAGAGTGTGGAACTAAAAGGTTACAGATTAATTAGGCCGTAACCTGTGCTGTATATTGCTGAAAACAACACTGCTTTGTTGTTATGTTGGCTACTGCAGCAGCTTGCATCATACATAGATTCCTCCTCCTTCAGAAGTAAGAGTACATACAATTCCATGAATTGAACAGTGTGTTTGTTTGATTTGATATATCTCATTTTGTAGTAAGAAAAGGCTCTCAAAATGGCTTGCATAAGATTTGCACAATATAGTCACATTATAGAAGCACAGTATTTTGAAGTATAGTCCATGTTTTTAATTTTATTGTTCCCTTCAGAAGCTACAGTAAACATGTCTAAATAAAACATTGGACTAGATGGAATTAGCATCAAGAGTTAGAACAGATGAGCCTACCAGCCTATGTCCTTGGCTTCTTATGTTCCCATTTTATACATGCATTGGAAGTTGGATGGGGAGAATTATGTTTGGTCTAGCATTTCAGAGTGAACCAGCCTATTTTGCCATTCTTTCACTGATACATGAATCAGAACATTGCATACTTTGTCATATTTTGCAGTGCAGTTTTGGTTCAGAAAAATACACACAAAATGCATATTGTCAATGCATTTTAGTGCAGTTTTTTTTTTAAAAAAAGAATGGACTTATGATTGAATACATATGAAAGTGATACTGAATGGAAAAAGACTGATCTTTCAATCACTAATTGAAAGGTGCTCAAGGCAGGCATCCAAAACTAAGCAGGTCTGGATCTGGTTGGTGGCTGGATGGGAGACCATTTGAAATCTGATGTGTTCATTATTTTTTAATCATTATTTATTTCATTTGTGAACACTTCCCATGACACACCCCAAAGCAATTTACAATACAATAAAAACATGTGGAGCAATTGCTTGTATAAAACACACCGGAACAGTTACATGTATAAAACTTTTATTATAAAACTTTTATAATAAAAGCAATTAAAACCTCATATATATAAACAATTTAAAGCACCAGCAGATACATAAAAGCAATTTACGTCCAATACGGGCAGAACCTGGCAGCAGCAGAAGCTGGGAGAGAGACATGCTTGATTTCTGCTAGAATCCAAGCTTGTGACTATGGGAGAAACAATAAATTTTGGGGTGTTGTTAATGCTGTAAGCCTCTCCAGCTTATGTTCAGGTTGCATATATGTGTAAATAAACCAAATACCCTAAAGACACCACAGTCTCTGCTGTCTCTTATTTCCAGGAAACCAAGCCTTGGGTAAGTGCATGGAACCCCTGCCTGGAATCTCTCACTGCTTGAAAATTAGGATAGTGTATAATAGTATTTCCTTCTTCATTTTAACGTATCTATATGGGTGGTTGGTTGGTTGGTTGGTTGGTTGTAAGTTGCTTTGAGATGCCTTTGGCAAGAAATAGTGGCTGATCACTATTTTTTTAAAAGATAAAATACAGATACCAAAAGGAAAAAAGTCTTCTCTCAGATGACTTTTTGAATAATGAATGCCTTGTATGTATGTCATACATGGAAAAAAGGTGGGATATAAATAATGTACTCTCCAAATCACAGTAAACACAGCCACATTATCTCAGTATATAGCCTTAATTTTGTGTTCAGGTGAAGATGCCAAGTTATATGCACCCTTCATACTCCTAAAAACATCTGGCTTGTTGTCTTCTTTTTGGTATTATGAGAACTTTTCTGACAGAAAAAAGTGTTTATCCAGAAATTTAGTCAAAACTTACAAGTGGCTGCTTGAAATGTATGCTGTTGAATGGTGTGATGTGGGCTAAATGTTACTACACCAAAGAGACACCTACCTGCTTGCATATGAATGAAAAGTTGGGTAAGTGTCTAATAGAAGGGCACAGCTTTTGGTTTGTTGACCTTCTCACATGGAAACATAGATACTTACAGTGGTTATAGAATAGAAAATCCTTTTCTGCTTACAATATGAATTAATTTAACAGCAGGAAATAATAATAAACTGAAAGGGGAAAAGTTGGCTTGATTTTGAAGCAACTGTTCTATTACTTCAAAGTGGCATAAGTTGTTTAAGATGCTGAAACAGCCATTTATAAATCTGAAGCAAGTGTAGACATGCAGTCTTCTTCCAGACAAATTATATTCATTCATGTTCTTAAGGTTGAAGATGAAATTTAGAGACCACACAACCAGCCTGTGTTTAGCTTTTGTGTTGAAAGATGCCAAATACTTAAAAGTGCAGCGTTTCCATAGGCAGAGTTTCTTTTGTACTCGCAGACGATGGAGCCTCAAATTCCAGAGGCATTACATGGGTAGTTTTAATGAATTAGTGTCTGGTTTTCCTGCAGCTGATGTGACAAGCAGCTTTATAAGCTGCTTCCCATCGATCCCTGCTTTCCAGCTCTTTTGTGTCTTCTGCTTGGAGGAAAACGATGAAGAGCTTGGTTTCTACAGTAACTACTGCCTGCAGGCAGATTTCTTTCAGGGTTCCTTTCAGTCTGTGCAAGGATGCTGTGTTTGGTTTCTTTAGAGCTCTTTTCTTTGGTAGTCTTGGAGGTTTAAATTTTATATGGTTTAATGTTGCAAAGTATGGTAGGATTTGTAATTGCAAGTGAAGTATGTTTTCCAGAAGTGGCTTCAATTGGTGTTAGTTGCTGTTGGCCTGAAATTATTTTTACTGAAAAATTGGTATAAGCTAAACTTGTGGGGTGTCAATGCTTGTAAAAATAAATACATATAGTGTAGGGAGGAAATTTGGTCCAGTCTATGGAGAAGTTGGTTGTCCATCTTATTTTCAGTCTAAATAAGAACTCTGTTGGATCACTCCAACTCTCCATCTAGTCCAGCATTCTGCTTCCAGAGGCCAGATGTTTCTAGGAAGCTCACAGTTAGGGCTTCAGTTAGGGCTACCCTTCCCTGCTGCCTGTCCTCAACATCTGGTATAGTGCCTCTGAACCTGAGTCCGTTTGCTTGTCATAGAATCATAGAATTGTAGAGTTGGAAGTGACCCTGAGGGTCATCTAGCCCAACCCCCTGCAATCTCAACACATGGTCCCCCATCCCATTTGAAACCATTCACAACCCTGCTGGCTTTGCAAATGTGCTAGCAGCTTTATTGTTGCACCACTAGGAAAATATAGCTAATATCTTTTTATAGACTTCACTTCCACGATTTTGTCTTAATTCCCTTTTAAAGCCATCTGACACAGTATTACCATTGCCGTAGTTAAGCACTGTGAAAAGCATCCATCTTGAACCTACCCTGATTCACTGAGTAACCCAGAGTTCTAGTACTATGAGAGGAGATTTTTTTGGGGGGTGGGGTATGCTTTTCATTATTTGTTACCTTCGTAGGTGTTCCAATCACTGGATTGTTTTGGTTTCTGATTTCTGTACCTTTGTAACTGTGTAATATATATTGGAGATATCCTTTGAAATATTCAGATAAGAAAGCTATTTTGTGTGAATGTGTATGTATTTATATTATTGACTAATGTGGATAACGATTAATTATAGCTAGGCCTATGTCCCTGAAAGAGCAGATTTCAGAATGTATCAGGAATAAAGAACACAGCATTTCTATACAGTTATTTCTTCCTCCACCCCATGACATTCAACTGTTTGAAGCAGCCCCTGGTTGTCAGAGTTATCTCAGCTGAACAAGTTGGTTGGAATCCTGCCATACTGTAGGATCACAACTTGCACACATTTAACTTGCACAATCACAGTTCTATGCGCTTGGCAGCTGGACAGCTGATATCACACAAATTAAATGTATGCGAGGCGGAGAGTTTAAAAGCTGTTTGCTTGCTGAATTTTCCTGCATGGAAAAAGCTTTTAATTTCTCAACCTTGGACTCTGGGAAACTCTTGTGTGGGCTATGGATGCTTTTGCAATATCTCAGGTGACCCTGTGAGATCTCACACTGGCTCTGGCAGGTAAGATTTTTCATGTAGAAGTGGTTCTAGGGGGTTGTTCTGACTAGATGTGATTTCAGTTTTACACACTACCCCTCCACCCAGAATATAACTATGTACCAGACGCTATGTACTGTATTTTGAAATTTTCTCCAGAAACTAGAGAAAAGGACAGTAACCAAAAAAAAGAAAGAAAAAGAAGAGTTCTTGAGGTTTTAAATGTATGCCCTTTTATGAAGTATGGATCGTTTCCTAACCAATTTTAGGTCAGTGTGTAGGACTAAGGCTTTTGATTCAAACCTAGCTTTTCATGATACTATGCTATTTCTGTGAATGCTAGTTTTGGTCTTTATATGTGTGTTCAGTTCTCTGTGTTAAGACTTTTTAAAAACTGCAAATAGTAATTGCTCATTTTGTAACCTGAAATAACACTTTACAATTAACATTTTATTAGAGTAAAGTAATACTGATGAAATTATGCAAATAAAAATTTATACTCTTCCAATTAATAAGTGCATTTTGTTTTTATTTTGCAGATGTACATTCAGGTTTCCCAGCACAAACATCAAGATAACATTTACAGCTTTATCCAATGAAAAAAGAGAAAAACAGGAGTCCCCGCAGTCCCCAGTGAAACCTGTGCAACCCCAGATCTCTCCCCTAACAATAAACATTCCAGACAACATGGCTCACCTGATCAGCCCTCTCCCTTCTCCCACAGGAACCATCAGGTATTTAGACATTGTGATACTGCATGCACAATTAATATAGGACCACAGAATTTAATACGAAGTAATACATCACTTGAAGTTTTCATTTGTGCAATAAAACCTGGAGCTCAGCTCAACTTGGGAATAAACTGTAGACTTGCACATTCTCTTCAGCCACCTAATTGTGCTGGTCTTACTTGAATTTACAGTACTATGGATCGCTCAAGGCCAAACTAGAGGTGATGGTTTCAGACACATATTTTTCATTGTGGGTTTGCCCCAATTATATATGAAGTAGGTAAGAGAGGATGCCCTTTGCTTACCTTGATAGTACGCCCATGGGGCAAGACAGTACCATGGAAAGCTCCAAGTGAGCAAACTAACTACAAAAGCTATGGATTGAACTAAATCCTTTTATGTCTGCAGATCAGCTTCCAAAGCACTTTCTCTTCCTTAATGTGTTGAAGACCTTAAAACAGCAGGACTCTTAGCTTGAAGCCCAGCATTCTTCCTTCTCCACTCATAACACTTTTCTCTGGGCTAACTGCCTGTAGTGATGGGTGGGCCAACATGGTGATTCGGGTTCCTGTCATGAAGAGAGTTACTTCCTTGGGTGGGTTCAGGCTTTTGAGTTTCAGGCTCTGGAGGATCCAAGCCAAGTATTTCTGGTTCAAGGGTGCCAGATCTAAACCACTGTGGCCTGGGCCAGTCTCCAGCACCTTTACTTTTGGTGCTGCTAGTTTGATGGAAGATGCTAACAAGAGTGTGGGTGCTGACAGATGGTTCAATTTTAAGAGGAAGAGAGGCATGCTGGTGAGTGGTGCTGAATACCTTCCAGGATCACTTAACTTCCTGCAGCCACTACCCTCCAGTGCTTTTTCTCCCAGCCAGGCTTGCTTCTGCTACTGGAGCCTGGCTGAGAGAACAATTGGAATGGTTGAGAGCAGGGAGTTTTAATGGTGGAAGTGGAAGGAAGGTTCTGCAGTTCCCACTCACATGCCGCCTTTGCTCCTAAACTACATGATTGGGGGAAATCTGCATGTAAAAGGAGAGGTCTGCTGCTGTTGTGTCTAGTTTGGCTTTCAATATGTGAGCGTTTAGAAATTGTCAGACTTGGAACATTTTGTGAACCAATGATTCATACCTGCTGGGATTCCTGGGAACATTAGATTGAGTTTAAGAACCATGATAAATGTTGACTATGTAGTAACCTAATAGCTGGTTTTATATGGGTGGTGGGCATGCTCAAAGTCACTTAACAACATGGACCATCTCTCTAATAAGCCATTTTTATTTATTTTGTTTGAAGCTTATACATATTTTGTTGAGTTGTATTGATAATTCAGTTAATTAAAATGTGGGAAAATTCATCTGATATTTTTTATAGCAGCTATTTTTTTTTGTCTCCAATATGTGCTTTCTCTCTAGTAGGGAATGGTTGACTAAGATGTGAAAAATTGCTGAGACGAAAAGTCTTAACAGCACAAATGCAAAGGTGTTTCTGTTTATATAATGGTCAGCCAACACCTCACAAACAGGTGTTTCTGTTGTGTTGACTATCTTAATCTCTATGAATTCAGTTAAGCAATTGCATGAGTCAAACAACACAACTGAACTTCCCCGTCTTCCCTGTACCCCCAAATCTACTCTGGAGATTTGAGGGGGAAGCACATGGGGGAGGAACGGAAGGGAAATTCCACTGTGTCATTCTGTTTAAGCAGTGACTTAGTTGGATTCTGTGTTTTATGGTAACACTTTCAAAAAGAAAATACTAAAATCAAAAGTATTAGATTAAGAAAAGTATTAGTTCCAGCTTGCATGTCCTTCTTGTATTTGTTCTGTGGGATTTCTCAGTGTCCCTGACCCTCAGTGCCTTCTCCAGTTGGAGGTTGGGTTGGGATGTGGGAAAATGTCTGCCACATCCCTGCCCTGGGTAAGTTTTGAGACCCTAAAGTAGGAGAAGGGGATGAGATGGCAGAGGACTCTGGTTCCTTGCAAGAGCTGAAAGTGATCGCTTGTATGGTCTTGATCCTTTGTGAGCGTTCACTTAGAACACTTGCAAATAATTGATCTCTTTTGGGGAGAAAAGTTGGGTATACAGTCATTTCTAATTGCATTTTAACTAAATCATTTTTACCAAGGATGCAAAGGCAATTTGGATGTCGTTTGCAAAATATTTTAAGCAGCTAGAATGTGCAGAGTACATTTAAGAATATTTAAGTTGGTTTTGCACCACAAAGGTGGCAAAACTGTGACTTGAGCTGAGACTTTGGAATCACGATCTGTGTGTAGTAGTATGTTCAGTGAAAAATGTGTGTGGTTGATTTTAACTCAGACTGCCGTGTCTACATAACAAGTAATGAATCAAAATGCTTCTGTTGATCTATTACAGTTGTCTTTGTGTTGCCTAGAGTATGTGGGCTGTATCCAATGAAGTCATTGACTTTAAAGGATCATCCCTGTTCATGCAGTAGAATTTCCCCTGCCTTGCCTTTCCCCATGTGCTCCTGTGCACCCCACATACCTTTTCTGGGTTTCTTCCCAATCCTCCAGAGCAGATTGTAGGGAGGAGAGGGAGGACTTTTCAACTTTATAGCATTAAAAATAGTATTCAAAATAACTTCGAAAACATTACAAGGCTTTTCAGCTTTACAGCATTAAAAATAATAGTCATGGCTGCTTTGAAAATTTTTTAGGAAAGGCACTACATTATAAATGCTGAAATCTAAAGAATTGTCCATGCAGCATTCTGTGCACATGCTGTGACTTTTGTGTGTGTTCCCAACTCCTCTTCTTACCACAATCTCTCATCACTGCCCTGCCTCCAAAAAAGCTACTCCTGGAGGTCATGGGGAGCTGGAGTGGCAGTGAGGTTCTGTAGCTAAAATGAGAATCACACAGTGTGGTTGCTTACAGGCACCCTGGAGTTTTATTTTAAATTACATTTTTGTGCATGTGTTATTTTTGGGAAATTATAATACATTACACATTTTATTCCAGTTGCTTTGTCAAAATAAAACATGTCCAGCAGCTTCTGAGGCACATAAATATAAAATCACATTGGTTGATTCTTGGTATCAAAACAAACATTCGTCCATGCAAATTCTTTCCTATCAGAACAAAACATAAACAACATATCTCAAGAGAAGCAATTGTGACCATATAATCTTTCTCAAGGGAGAACTGACTAGAACTTCTGTGTGTTACCCTGCACATTTATATGAACAAGGTAAAAGGAAGACACAGAGATGCAAATATTTTTCATGGAACTTTCCCCCCAATGTTGATACCAAACTTCTGTGTTTAAAGACTCAAAATGCATTAATTATGAGAGATCAAGGGTAAATCAGGCTTTTAAGATTCCTCCTTACAGCATCTTCACAGTACTGATTGGAGCTGCATAAATTATTGACTCCAACTATATTACCAGATAAGATCTATATTAAAAACTAAGCTAAATTGGCGAAGGTAAGTTTAAATTGGCTGACTAAAATGTGCCCTTATTAAATGGGCAGCACATGTAAAAATAATAATTATATATAAGTACTTTTTTAAAAAAACCACCTACACATGGCAGGCACCATCTTAGAAAAAACATTCATTTTCTTTGTTTAACATAAAAAGAATTACCGTAATATTCTAAGACATTATCTTCTATGACATGCACATGTATCATCAAATGACCTTTTGTTCTCTTCAAAACTATTTGTTGTCATAGACAAATTTAATTAATTTAAAATCGCATGCTGTTAATTTCCTTTTAATTGGGTGGAGGCCCTGTTGAGAACCTGTAGGCCAGGGTCAAAATATATATAAATCCCTTCTCCTTTTGCACACAGGAACTTTTAAGCTTTCCACTCCATTAAGTGTCAGCCTCCACCCAGAAAATCCGATCCAAAGGCTGAAGATCCTTTGGAGCAGAATCTCACGAGGGACTGTGAGATTCTGCCTTTCCCCCTGCACATGAAAGGAAGCTCTTTCCACTCACACATGTAGATAGTGTGTTTGGATTTCACCATAGTGTTTGCTGAAAATTAAATGGAAGATGGAGCCATTATGTGGGCTTATTCTCCATCTAATAGCTGGGTTGGCAATAGTTGACTGTTGTCTGGATAGTGATCCTGTTCAGGGGTGGGTGTGTCTTTGTCATGCAGGTGCTTTTCTAAAGCTGATTTGTTTATCAGTTGTACATTTTAGAAGCTATATAGTCAACATTTTGAATGCTTTTAAAAAATTAAGTTCATTCTGAAAACTTCCACAAATAAAGTTGATAGGAATTTAGTTTGAAATGCTGAAATAGGCCTATAAGCCAGTACTATTGTGGGCATGCAGCAAAACAGACTTCGAGAGCCAGTGTGGTGTAGTGGTTAAGAGCGGTTGTCTCGTAATCTGGGGAACCGGGTTCGCGTCTCCGCTCCTCCACATGCAGCTGCTGGGTGACCTTGGGCTAGTCACACTTCTTTGAAGTCTCTCAGCCTCACTCACCTCACAGAGTGTTTGTTGTGGGGAGGAAGGGAAAGGAGAATGTTAGCCGCTTTGAGACTCCTTAAAGGGAGTGAAAGGCAGGATATCAAATCCAAACTCTTCTTCTTCTTCTTCTTAACAACTGTAGCTCAGGAGTCAGTTGGTTCCCTTTTCTCCACAGGTTGATCTTTTGTGTCTGTTGTATTATGTGATCTAACAAAGTTTTTGGTATTGTTCATTGTGAAGAATAAACAAATTATATGTTTACTTATATCATCCTTTTTTGAAATCTTTTGGATTGGTTTACTGCCCTTCTCACCATTGCCCACTATATCCTGAAGAGGATTTAGATCATTGTAGCGTTTCTTTTGTAACTGGTGTGCATTACTGGTGTGTCCTCAGCTACCTCAAATCTAATCTACTGAAGATAGGGATATGCACCTAAAACAATTCTTTGCATTCCTAAAGTTACCATCCTGAATGTAGTTCCTCATTTGATCTGACTGTAGGCTCTGGACACATGTGAGAGATTTGCCTACGTGTACAGATATCTATTCCAAACTAATATGTGACAGTTGGCACCTATATGCAATCACTTCCATATTTAACAAGCAATCCTGGCATCTAGCAAGATTGCCCGATTGCAGCCTGGAGACTCTTCTGTCTCTTTACAGTCTTGCAGTCATGCAGGAGGATGCAGCTGTGGCATTAAAAACCAGGATTTGGACCACTTTACTGCTAAAACAATAATTACCTCCCTCCCTCAACCTGTCAAGCCTCCCATGTGCTGTTGGAAGATGTTGCTTGAAGACCTCGCAGCTTCCAAGTTGAAACGAAGGCTGGCTGCTCTTCACACTTGCTAGAGGGCAGCACCACACTTTTTGAAAAACTAGGTAGAATCAAACATTTCTTGACCTTAAGAGGGATTGTTTTCTCTATATTGAGAGCATGTGAGACTTCTGCCAAGATGTTAACATTTTCCTAATCTAATAGTAACAGGAAAGTAAAGCCTGCTTCTTCCCATATGTCACTCACTACTGCCTTCATTGGTGAGTGACCCCTCTCTTTTCCCCTCAAAAAGAGCATTCAGATTTGTGATGTAACCACTGTTTACATGGAGTATTTTCATCAAGGCGTCAGTGAATTGGCAAATTTAGCCTCCATATCTTTTTCCAGGCACTATGTCCTATAAGAGAAACTGGATTTGACAGTGTGATCTTTTTACCCAGGCTTTGTCAAGGCTCTTTGTCTCACCACATTGAATTTTGTACTCCATGTGTTTCAACTGAGCAGTTTCTTGTCCTACTTGTGTAGTTCTACATTTTGAGATGCCACATTCTTGTTTAAGGCTTGTCAATCCATTTTCATATATACTGTTGTAGACACAAGTAAAGCACTAGACTCTGAAGAACAGTTTTCTAAAAATGTTTACATGTAAGTTCAATTCCGTTAGAGAAACATCACATTCATAAAATAGCGGTTAATGTTATCTTTATGAAAGAGATCCCAGTGATCCCTTCCCCCATAACTACTAAAGTTCACAATGCTGAGAGACTTATAAGGGTTATTGTGGAAATGACTGAGGTTCTTAATTGCATGATTTATTTTGTAACCAGGGGTGTTTGATATTTTTAATTTGTGGGTGGATATACTCTGTAATGGATATACTCTTCCTATTCTACAGTGCTGCAAATTCCTGCCCATCTAGCCCTCGTGGTGCAGGTTCTTCAGGGTACAAAATGGGCCGTGTAATACCATCTGACCTACATCTAGTGGCTGACAATTCACAGTCAGAAAATGACAAAGAAGCATCTGGTGGAGATAGCCCAAAGGTAAGTTTGATTGGAATCAATATTGTAACATTGATTCTTGAGTTCTGTGTTACACTAATGGAAATGTATTGGTTGGAAAAAGCAAAAGTAGCAATAATAACTATATGTGGTTTAGTAGTTTGAAATAGAAAACAACATGTATCCTGTATATCTGTGCTGTATTTAGTTTGGATGCTACAGAATGCTAAGAAAGTATCATAAAGCTAGAAGATTATACTTTCACAATTTTCTTTTTTGTTGTCAAGTGATTTTCTAAAATATCTTTCAAATTATATCCATTCTGTGTGATGGAATATCGAAAATGCTAAAGCCTATAAAAGTTAGTTTCAAAAAGGAAAGGCATCAAATATGCAACCACAGAGTCAAAGGCAATGTAGGCAATGTAGTCCAACTCTCTGCTTGATGCAAGAAATCCAGAGCTAGAACATCCTCAACAGATGGCTGTCTAGCTTTTGCTTGGAGACCTTCAGTGAAGAAAAGCCCACTACCCCTCCTAGATCTGCCCACTTGGAGCAATAGAGAGCAAGTCATTGTCCTCTTCTGTGTGACAGCCATTCAGGTATCTGAATGAGTGCTATCTTGTTACCCCTCAGTCCTCTCTTTTCCAGTCTAATCATGCCAAGTTCTTTCAACCTTTCTTTATAATAATAGGACTTGTTTTCCAAAGCAGCAGCTGTATTTGTTGCCTTCCTCTGAACTCATTCCAATATGTCTATATATCATGGGAAGTCACTGTTCTGAGCACTTCTGTACTGGATCATTCATTCATTCATATTTTGTTTGTTTTAAAAACATCTTAGTACACCATAGTAATGTAGTTTAAAGTTGTGGGTGCTGTATTGACAAGCTTGAGTGTGTGCACGCTAATGGAATTTTGATGTCTGGAAACCATCCTATATGAGGAATGCTTGAAAGAGCTGGATCTGTTTAGCCAAGAAAAGAGAAGATAGCAGTTTTCAATATTCGAAGGACCGTCATGCAGAAGATGGGGCAGACCTGTTCTCTGTTGCTCTAGAGGGCACTACTGCAAACGATCGATGGAAACTGCAGGGAAGTAGAATGCAGTCTGCTAAACATTGCAGAAACTTTCTACTGGCGAGCACTATCTGATCATGGAATATAACTGTCTGAAGAGGGCTTTTATTTGCAGGAGGTTTTTAAGCAGAGACTTGATGGTCAGCTGTCAGCTATGCTATAATGTAGTTTTATCCTACGTTGAGTGGGGGGCTGACTTCCAGTGTATCTTCCAGTTTTGTTATTAATATGGATATGGTGTTCCACTTGAGATTGAATAATAATAGTGCAGAATAATATGGAATGATTACTTTCCCTGACTTGGAAACTATGGAAACTATTAATGTAGCATATATTCACATTAGCCTTTTTTGTATCACACTGTTGACTCAAGTTCCACTTGTGATCAACATCAGTCCCAACTCGCAAACACATAATATCTCCCAATGCAAATCTATTCCAGAATTGTCTGATATTTTCAAGCTTTATTGTAATACACAACTGATGTATTTCTTACGTTACTGAATGGATAAGCTGCTGTAGAAAACTTACTGTATTCATTTTCATCTTCTTTTATAGGATGACTCAAAGCCACCTTATTCCTATGCACAACTAATAGTACAAGCAATTACGATGGCACCAGATAAGCAACTTACACTAAATGGAATTTATACGCACATAACTAAAAACTATCCTTACTACAGGACAGCAGACAAGGGCTGGCAGGTAAACATAACTAGTATTGTTTTAAGTAAAATAAACAGAAAACAACTTAGTTTAGTTACTACTTCAGACACGGACTTCACAGCCCCCCTCCTGCCCTGGTTATATGTTTAACTTGTGAAATAGGTTTTTGGAGCTTTGAAAATGATTAGCTGTTTCAGTAACCTAAAATGGTACACTGGTTCTTTCAGTAAAACTAACCCTTTTCCCATGACCCTTTTCCACATAGAAAGGTTAGTAAGGGATGTATTTGTAGTAATGGATGAGGGTTTTTCAAAATTGTAATTGAGAAATGAGAAATCCCTAAATGTCTGGTAGATGAATGTTATGTATGTATGTATGTATTTATTTATTTCATAAAATTTATACATCGCTTGATTGTAAAAAACCTCAAAGCAGTTTAAGTAGGAGTCACAAATTCTGTGCCAGCTTCTCCAGAAACCCCCAAACTGGATTACTTATCCTCTTCAACTAATAAAACCAACTTGAACATGTGCTTTAGTTTTTATAATGTAGTCTGTAGGCAGCTATTGTTAGGTTGCAGAACTTGGGATATTCCAGTATAGCCTGGAGAGACACAGGGGATGGGAGAGGAAAAGAGGCAGGAATTTTTAAGGAGGAGGAAAAAAGAGGACATGGAATGGGAGAGAAACAGTGAAGTTTGAGGAGAATTCTTTATTACCAAAATCCTTGGCCATCCTCGTGTATTTGTTCATGCCTGAACAGCATATGTTGCCTGAATATTTCCAAGCTTTTTAAAAGGAAAATTCATGTTTTGGTTATTAAGAAACTAGAAGGCATTGTTCAGTACATCCTAGGAGTGTAATGTGAAGAGCTTGAAAGATCAAGTCAGGGAAGGCCACCAGAATGTCAAATGACTTTTCAGCATGTAAAATTTAAAACTGCTGTACTAAGCAAAATTTGAAGTATTTCAGGTGACAGAAGGTAAAAATACAGTTGAAGCACCAGGAAAAGGCAAAACCATGTGTTAAAGAGGGAGAAACTGCAAGACCTAAATATGTGGGGCTATATTAGTGATAGTTCCACCGCTGAAAAAGTTGGTTATGATGGAAGGGTGACTGCTGTCAAATGAATATGTGGTGACTGGAGGCTGGTTTCACAAGGAGCGGAAACCTTTGCATTAGGCCATATTCCTGCTTGATGCTGAAGAGATGGATGATTTCTATATATTTTTTATATTCCATAGAATTCAATTCGTCACAATCTCTCTCTGAATCGTTATTTCATCAAAGTACCACGTTCCCAGGAAGAACCAGGCAAAGGCTCCTTCTGGAGGATAGACCCTGCCTCTGAAAGCAAATTAATAGAGCAGGCTTTTAGGAAAAGGCGGCCGAGAGGAGTACCTTGCTTTAGAACCCCACTGGGACCTCTCTCTTCTAGGTAAGGAATCAAAGTTGGGGGTTTAAAAATACACTTTCAGAGGCTTCACCTTAAGTGTGACTCGTTCTGCTGGGCATAGGGTAACCGCAGTCCTAAGTGATCGCAATGTTGTTAGAGCTAGATGTATAACAATTATAAAGGAGTTTTCCTAAATAGAGAACGGGTGTTCATTGTAATTGACTGCACTAAGGAGCCATTAAAATTTCTTCTTGAGGAGACTTGGTGGGTTTTGCTTCATACTAAGGATCTGTTGCCATTTTGGGGGCTTGAAATCCCCCCCTCCAAAGTTTAGGCTGGCTAGTAATGTTGTTCCTTGTCAGTTGTAGCCCTTTCGAGTGCATTGCAGTTACCTCAAAACAATAGCTGTGGAGGGCTAGATTCACACAGTGCAGGTAATGTAGTGTCACAAGAATCGACTTTCACACATTGAATGTTGTCAGTTTGCATTATTAACATAACACCTGCCAAGCTGCCCTCTTGCTCCACAGTTGCTGCTCAGGGATAATGCCCAGCAAGGGCACACTCTTCTTTCCCTTCAATCTGTTCACGCTTCTGTAGTAGCTAGCTAGCTAGCTAGCTAGCAAGCAGCTCTTTTGATTGCATTTTTTTAAACCATTGGCTTGCCCCATGGCTTGAGCCTTCTGGAGAAGTATCCATTTACCTTTTGGACCTAACCCACTCTGCTTAAATCTGGGTGTGTATAATACATTATATAATATTTTAAATGGGTGACACCCAGCCATGCTCCCCCAATTGTCCAATGAATTCTGCTTATGCAATGGGACTTCTTTCAACCCCTCCCCCAAAAATCTTCCCTTGTTCCACAGGGATTGTATTGGTGGCGCAGGGGGCAGAAACTTAAGCACAGATTTTGAAAGTTTTCCTTAAGAGCTTCATGTGTTCCATCATTTAACTAAAATTCATAGTGGCTAGGCATGCATTTTCGAATAGAACATGAACAGTTAGTAGTTTCCTAATAGGGAGAATACTCTGGTGCTGCTTAAACCAAGATGGAAATCACAGAAATATAAATTTTTAACAGTTCCATTCATTTTTTTAGGTATTGTCTCAAAAATGATGTATCTAAAAATATTTAAAGCAGATCCTGTGTGTTAGAGAAGTAGGGAAATCCAAGGAGAACGTATATGACAGAGTAACAAAGATCAAGGTATTTGAGTTAGGGAATTCCATACCTTTTGATCGTCTAGGGTGCCTGTGTGCCTGCCAGTGTCTGCTTTGGTGCCCACACAGGGGCTTCAGCACACTGAACCTCTAAATTGAGGCATGCTGAATAACTCATTCATTTTTATTGACATTTGTTTCAATGCCCCCCACATCCTACTCCTTGTTCTGTGCTACTATAGCAACCATAGTCTGCTTTTGAATTACCTCTGCAAAAGTCTGCGAAGTCAGGAATTGGTAGTACTTCTCAGTCAAAGAGCTCCTCCTTGTGGAAAGTATATGTATTAAATGGTTTTTGAGGCTGACTACTCATCGTAGCTGTCAATTCTCAATCTGAAAGTGGCTGCTTTTGTTCTTCATTTGCAGAAGTGCCCCAGCTTCCCCTAATCACTCTGGAGTGTTATCTGCTCACTCGAGTGGTGTGCAGACCCCAGAGAGCCTGTCAAGGGAAGGGTCACCTGTCCCAATGGAACCTGAGCCGAGTACTATCCAGCCAAAATTAGCAGTAATACAAGAAGCACGATTTGCACAGAGTGCCCCAGGTGAAATATTCATATAGTGTTCATGTATTTAATATGCATATTAAAACTGTACCAAACTAATGGAAAGTATAATGTAGGCTTCACTTCAAAAGCCAAGTTTGTTTGCAGAAAGAAATTATGAATGAAAATTAAAAATATAAGTAGTCTATGCTTTGTGAAGGGCTAATAGAACCCCCTTTTCCAAATACTTTTAAGATTTATGAGTTGGGGTTGAATGGAATTGTCATGCTGAAATTATGACAATTGATGGTGCTGGGTGGGGTTGATGGAAGTTGGGAGTCTAACAACTTCTGGATTTCCCCAATGTTGTGTTAGGAGGTCTCCAAAGGGAAAAGCAAACCAAACTGTTTCATAGGAGCACAGAGATTACATTGGTGACCTCCTGCAAAATGTGCTCAAGCCACTGAACTACGGATCTACAACACTTCCATTTTTTTGTTTTTATTTTGAAATGTAGTTATGTTAACTATTGGTGTTGCCAGTAGTTGCAACCCTCTCCTTGTGGCACAACAACATTTTTTTTTTTTACTTTTTTACTGCTGAAAACAGTGTCATTAATACAGAACTAACTGGATTTACTCTTAGGATAGCTGAAGAAACTGTTGAAGGAAGGAGTAGGCTTTTTTAAAAATTCAAGTAAGCAATATGTTCATAGACTTTTGGAAAGCGGATGATTTAACTAATTTCCCCCCTTGCCTTTTTTTGATAGGATCACCCTTATCTAGCCAGCCTGTTTTAATTACTGTACAGAGGCAGCTACCACAAACTATGAAACCTGTCACATACACTGTTGCAACTCCTGTGACAACATCAACATCCCAGCAGCCTGTAGTACAGACAGTTCATGTTGTTCATCAGATCCCAGCTGTGTCTGTCACAAATGTGACTGGATTAGCACCAGCAAATACTTTCACTGTAGCTGGACAAGCCGTGGTCACACAGGCAGCGATGGTGGCCCAACCTAAGGGAGAACCTCAAGAGAATGGAGACCACAATGAAACGAAAGGTGAGAATTTGGTTCCGGTTCCCCTTGGAAGTAATACAGTCCAAATATTTTTTTGTATTTGTTGCAAGTAGAGAAAACAACTACATAATACTGATTTCTCTTCAGAAGTGCTAATTTTGATGCTTTAACCATGAATTATTCAGTGCTTTCAAACTTTTATTCTAACAGATTTTTATTTTTATTCCCACCCCCAGTTAAAGTGGAGCCTATACCTGCCGTTAGCCATACAACCATAGGAGCTGCTAGTCGGATCATTCAGACATCTCAGACGGCACCTTTACAGACGGTTACTCTAGTGCAACAGACACCTCTAGGTCAACACCAGCTACCAATAAAAACTGTAACTCAGAATGGAACACATATAGTACCCATCACCACAGCAATTCAAGGTCAGGCCAACACTGGTAAGTATTTGGAGTGATGTCTTTAGTGTCACAAATTTTCTTTTGTCACAGTGATGTCCAGTATCTGTGGATTCTTGATTCTCAAAATTGTTACAGATTTGTGCTTTAGCTTATTTTGAGGTAACTACTACCCTGGAAAATTAAGGGGTTTTTTGTTTGTTTTTTAGACTACATCCTTTCTCTTTCACGTTAAGTTAGGAACTGATCTATGATACAAAGAACTGTGTAACTGTGCTGTGCATTTGTATTTCTGGAGGAATAGCTCCCCATCCCAGATAGCAGTCTGCTTTAAAAATCAAAAGGATGTTTCTGTTGAAAGTTAGGGAATTCTTCTGTGGGAGAGCCGGGAACCACCACTAGTTATGCTCAAGGCTTTGGGCATGCCTAAAGTAACTCTTTGATCCCCGCATTGGTTTGATTAATGGTGTAATTAAGCTTTAGATACCCAATTATCTTGGTGTTGTTTTATTTCTTTCTCTCCCCCCACATGCTGCCCTGAACCTTGAAAATGCAGTTCTTTACAATGTATTATAGTTATTTACTCATGCTTTTTTCTTGGTCGTTTCACAATCCTTTGGGACCATCTGCTCCCGGTAGAATATAGACTGCTATCCTATTCACACTTTCTGGCAGTAAGTTCCCTTTATCACAATAATGTTTTTCTTCCTCTTTAGCCATGAGGTCAGCCACTGCAGATATTTTCACCCATGCAAGAACATCCTAGGGTCGTTCTCAAATGTGTGCCGCATCAAGCTTTCATGTAATACTAAAGCCATTCGTGGAATTGGGCTTCCTCTTGCCTTGCCTGCGTTTAATGTCTCTCCATTTGTTTCTTTTACAGCTGCTGCAAGTCCCCTACACATGTTAGCAACCCATGCATCTGCATCAGCTTCTCTTCCAACAAAACGTCAGAACGGAGACCAGTCTGATCAGCAAGAGTTGAAACGTATCAAAACGGAGGATGGAGAGAGCATAGTCATAGCTGTGAATGTGGAAACTCCACCTGTGGCAGTGAGTGAACAAGGCAGCCAGAACTAGGAACTTAAGAGGAATATTTCTTTTTAGAATGATGCTCCGTGGTGCCAAAAGGAGACATTGAAACACCTAAACTATTGAACATGTTCTCACATGGTGGGGAAAGGGGCCCTGTGACTTCAACTTTCAGCACTGAGGAAAAAAAAACACAGGTGGCCTTAGAACTCCTTAATTTAAAAATCGAAACCAAACTGTCCCACATCTTGTTCCAGAGGCTGTGACCCCTTTCCCCCCACTCCTCCTTGCCGTTCTGAAGTGACTCTTTATAGATAAGGAGAGATACAAAAGTTGGAAGTCTGCAACTTTAAAAAGCTCTATTGGATTGATTACTTTAAGGATTGAGTATCTCAGTATATCACAGCATGATAAGTACTTCATGTGACTGGATTTCAAACGATTGTATATTCCTCAAAGGGAACAGAGGCAAGGAGCCATTTCCTACATCTTGGCAGCTAGCCTTTCATAATGACCTACCCAATGCAGTTGTTGGTAGATATGCAGTATTTTGTTGTTCACATGTGGAATTAGAAATTTTTGATGTGTACTTTCATTTTATTTTCAAAATAATGGGGTCTTTGACATTTCAAATCACTCCATTTCTACTCCAGAAACTTTGGAATCACACAGTACTTTTCATGTGAAATTTTGTTTGGTAAAACTGAATGTAGGGTTTTTTAACCAATGGAATGATTTAATTTTGTCCTGTTAAAGTTCAGATAAAGCTACTTTGTTACATCTGCAAATTTTCATATTTTAGCAGTTGCCTGATAAAATTTAATCAGATTTTATTACCTTGTGTAGTGATCAAATGCTTCTTTGGGCTTGCATGTTACTGATTAGAAATACAGTGTAAATGAGCCGTTAACTGACGTTCAAGAACTGCTATGATGAATTTGACCAGAGCTGCACTTATCTGTTTCTCTTTCTTGCTACCTTTTGCTGTTTGTTACTTTGTGTTGACTTTGATTGTCCCTGGCTTATTTTTCCAGTCTAAAGTAAAACAAGAGTCTCGCTTAATATTGTGTATGTTTAAAATGGCAGACTGTTCTTCATTTAGAAAAGAGAAAATTCTTTATCACAAGTCCTTTTAAAAAGAGAAAAAAAACTTGTCAGAGGTATATCCAATATTTTTCAGCATAAGCGCCCACCAGTAGAAATTAATCTGATGAGTTTATCTTTAACTTTTGATGTCCTGCACAGACCTTCTGGGGTCTGCATTAAGAGTAGCTGTTGAGGTTTTCTAACAGTGGCTACCATACTATAATAAATGTGGTTTTTTTTAAAGTGTGTGTTCTGCAGTTGAACATTTTAAAGGATACTTCTCAGAGTTGTGATTGTAGAATCCACCTTACATTTCAGAACTGAACTAAAAGCTAAGACTGTTTTTTGTCTTTCATTCACATGCTGTCTTGTCCCTTCATATTAAGGTGAGTTAAAGGTAAAGACTGGCTTGAACCTTTGATTTGCCCTTTTTTGGCAATACCATTATTTATATATATTTTTTCATTTTGAGAAGAATCTGTATTTTCATGATGGACTGAAATGGCTTGGAATGGCTTATATTTAGTCAGTTTTTGAAAACTGTTTATCTGAAGACCAAATATGAGAAATCTGTACCAAGTATCATGTTAACCCACACAGTAGAGCTGTCACAGTGTCAATCTGGATAATACATATTAAAAGATTATGAAAAAATGCTGTACACTAGCTGGATTTATAACAGCCACTATAAGCTGGGTAAAGCAAAAGAATTTATGTAACTGCAGCATTCTACTTTTTGTGCTGTGGTCACTTAATTTAGAAATAATTAAACTGAATTATTGGCAAAACATTTGGTTATAAACCTACTATTTCATGAGTATTAGGCAAACTGCTGCAAGTTTTTGAATAAAAAAATCTGGTGAAATTCTTAAGTCAGTCAAAATTTATTCACACTTGGAAGTTTTCTTATGCACCCAATATAGTCAGTGTAGGACACAGAATCTTGGAGCAAGATTTACATCGCCGTCCTATGCACATCTGTCAGAATGCCATGGTTCCAGGTAAGGGCGCATAGAACGATAGCCTTCAATATAAGAATCTTTAAACTCACCTGCTGTTGACTTACCCCTTCTTCCATGGGCAGGGTACTCTAAAAATGCTTGCATTTCCATTCCATAAACTTGGTTAAGTAATGCTATGCTATTTGAGCACTGGGGAAAGCTTAGATATAACTTTAGTGTCAAAATGCCAATTGCCAGGGCTCAGACAAGTGAAACAGGAGGGCATGAGTAGGATAGGCATGGGAAGTAGTAACATAAACAAAGTATTACCAAATACAGAAATTCTTCCCTACCCTGTCTGCCAGTGGTGTCTTATCTTTGCTTGTCTTACTCACTTTCCCTTATTATATGTAATACGTGAAGCTTTTACTTCAGTCGCCTTTGTAAACAAGTAATTGCACAAAAATACTAGGATTTCATTGAAATGTATATTACGGCTCTCTGACATTGCAGCTGTCTCCTTGTGTGACTGCTACTTGAGACCGGTGCTGATGTCATTTGCAGAAGAAAATTTCATACAAGTCCATTTTAGGTTTCTGAAGGCACTTGGAGCAAGTGGGCAATTGTCTGGATGAAATAGCTAATGCAAAATCAGTCTATCCCCCCCCCCCCGGGAGCAATTTGAGTCACATAAGCAAATGCCTGCTAGTTATATCAACATCTGGGTTTATATATTTCCCCAACGGTGTTGCAAAGAAAAGGAGCTCTGGGTAATTTCTGAACAGCATGGCACAGTCTCTTACCATATCAATGTTGTAGTTAGCCGATGTACCTACTAGTGTTTGGATTATACTACCATTACTATAGTTGCTAAAAGTTGTTTCTGCACTGAGCAGTGCTTATTTTTCATCAGAATTTGACTTTCCTTTACGCATGAATTATTGTGATTTTAGCTAGTGTTTTCCATGGCCAAGGCTCAGGTGCAGAGAAATGGCTTATGCATTTAACTATTAATAGTTGTTCTAGGTTGTACTTGTGTTTGTAAGTACAGTGGTACCTCGGGTTACATATGCTTCAGGTTACAGACTCCGCTAACCCAGAAATGGTACCTCGGGTTAAGAACTTTGCTTCAGGATGAGAACAGAAATTGTGCTCCGGCGGCAGCAGCAGCAGGAGGCCCCATTAGCTAAAGTGGTGCTTCAGGTTAAGAACAGTTTCAGGTTGAGAACAGACCTCCGGAACGAATTAAGTACTTAACTTGGGGTACCACTGTAGTCTAATCGGCATTTCTTTCAAAACCAGTCAGACAAGCCCCTACTGGAGAGGAAGGTCCATCCAATCTTGTTTCATGTGCTGTGGGAGGAGATCTCTCAACTCATTTTAACAGTGACAGGAGAAGGTTAATCTGTCAAGTGGGAATATGGCATTGGTGAGAAAGGAGACATGCATGCACGCAAATATTACATTTAAGTTTCTTTTCCTGAACATTCATAGGATGGTGGAGCAAAAGTGTATTACATTATAAGCTTTCAAACAAGTCTACTTTGGTAGATAATATTATCCTAGGGTTGGCAGAGGTAGGCATATGTGTGTGTGTGTGTGTGTGTGTGTGTGTGTGTGTGTGTACACACACACACTATCCTTATAGACAATATGCATAACAGTGAGGGTCATGGAAGGTGAAATACAGAAGACTGAGCATTTTTAAGTCTTAAATGTGTGTGAAGTAAATGCTGTTACAATTGACAAACTAGTGTTAATAATAACTACTGGGATTTTTAAAAAATGTTACCTTACTTCAACCTGTGGGTGATGGAACTGAACTTCGTGTTATTTTGCTGCAGCATATCTATCCTCCTTGAAAAATTCAGCAAACATTACTTCTCTACCTGAGTTTTATGAGATTTGCAAGGGACTTGCAGTGATGGATTTCAGCAAAGAAACACTTTTCAAAATGCCCCCCCCTTATTATCCTGTTTTTTAAAGATAACATTACTGTTTAAAAACTATATGATAAAAGGGTACCCCTAGAACAAAAGGGAATGATAAGAATTGGAAGTTGGTGTCAAAGAATTTGGCCAGAGACACAGATAGGAAAGAGAAAACTACCTTATACCGACTGTCCACTTAGACTCAACAAACACGTTTCCCTTCACTGGTCCACTAATTAAAAATCTCAGCAACATTCTTGGATACAATCTATTAGCGCCATAGATTACATGCATCCTACTCCTAATTGATCTTGAGCTATTTAGGCAATTTAACTAAAACAAAGAACAGAACTAGCACCCATATACAGTGGTACCTCCGGTTGCGGATGGGATCCCTTCCGGAGCTCCGGTCGGATCCCGAGGTTTTCGCAACTGGAGGTGCCTGTTCTGCACATGCTTGTGGCGTGGTAGAGCGCTTCTGTGCATGCGGCGAAACCCGGAAAAATACTTCCAGGTTTGACACGTGCATATCCCAAAGGATACGTAACCAGAGGTGTGCCTAAGTAGAGGTACCACTGTACAGAACTTCTGTTACCATAAAATGAATACAGCAAATTAAGTCACTTTAATTAAAGAAAATTACAAAAGGTGTGCAAAACAATTTCCATGATTAAATACACATTTAAAAGCAACATGCAAACTGACATCTGTATATAGGTTTTAGTTAAATGACAAATTCCAATACTTTTCAACTTGAACCAAGACTTCAGTTAATCTTGAAGTATGCATGAAATCAAGGGAGCTAATAACTGAAGTTGTGTTTTAAGGGGATGATATTGGTAACTTCAAATTATGTGTCCAAATACCTCATTTCCCAAAATATAGTGTTGTGATTGATGTACTACTTAGTGTTCAGAGAGACAGCGGCTTAGTTTGTTCTGAACACATAATAAGCTTGCTGTATGATAGGGATTTCTTACAGGCTATAAGGTGGGGAAGCTGCAGCCCTCCAGCTGTTTAACTACACCTCTCATCATCCTTGGCCATGCTGGCTAGCACTGATGGCAGTGAAGTCCAGTAACATCTGGAGGATCACACTTTCCCCATTCTTGTTGTTCAGTATACTACCCTCTTGGCCATTACAGATTATGTTGTACTTGTAGAACTTCCCCAGCACAACCTAAGTGCAAATACCAATGGATCAAGAACTGAAGTGTCTGGAATGGTTATTTCCAATATCTAAGCTGTTTGCTGTCACTTTCCCAGCATCTCAACATTGTCCTATGCCACTTCCTGCCCTGCAGAATGGTTATTTAGGCCAACAGTACTTTAATGATGTTTGCTATGGATTTCTTTTGGCACCTCTGACAAATGACAAACAAGTTAATATCTATTTATAACAGCATGAAAACAAGGACCTTGAGCATTCTATCTATGTCAGAGCAAGTGCAACTAAGAGCCAACTTGCTATAATATTCCTTTCTGTGTATTAGAAGATAGGAGAAAAAGGACATTTTACAAAGGCAGAAACTGCTGGTATAGATTTCCTGCCACCCCCTTAAGCACGGTACTAGAACTCAAATCTGTATGTACTTTTGACATGTCCCATTCACTGTTTAAACCTTAGTAATCTCCTGCCCCTTCACTCTTATGGAGTGGCAGGCACTAAGTTTCACAGTTTAATTACAGAGAGAAACCCAATAGGCACAGGCTATTGAAACATTTTTTTTTAAAAAAGGGGGGGAAATTGAAGGAACAACAGCAGCCAAAACTTAACATTTAAAACCAGCTGTTGACAGTTAACGTAGTAGTCCTCTGCCTTGCTCTGTCCATACTGGTTTGGGCTTCTTAAAGTCATCTGTCCCATCTTGAGCAGCACAGTTGACTGAAGGTAGTGAGAGGCCATCTCTTCAGGAAAGGGAGAATAAGCAGGACGGGGTTCCAGATCTCCTTCCCCCCTACCTACAAATTTCCATCAGTTCAGTCAAAGTTTGTCATCAGTCATTTCTAGGAACTGAGCATAGACATCCCTGGAGCATTCCCCTTTTTGATTGAATAAAAATTTGTAGTAGCTGCCATCTGCACAGATCGCTGCAAGAGAAAGATACTGTTTTCAGTTTGGCAACTGAAGTCAATTGCTTACACATTGTGTTTCACTGCACAGCTTTTGCTTGTGAGAGCAGCAAGAGACGCCGCATTACCTGCAGGCTAAGAAACATTCTCCCATAAGACCTGCGCTATATACGCCAATCAATTCTAGCGCCTGGCTTGCCCCACCCCAGATAGTTCTTGATGAATCATTAAGCTGCCCTCCGTGAGGATCTCAAGCAACAATCTTGAGCGTTCAACATTCCTTGTAATCTAAACATTTTTACAATCTTAGGCTGCAATCATATGACATTAATCTGGAGTTAAAACCCATTTATATAAATCACACTCCCATCAAGGACGGAGGGAGATTCCTCAAAAAGCTTGTTTGTGAGCACAGCTGCTTGAATTCATAGGCTATGTTTGGGATATGCATAGTGAGGGGCCTTGTTTGATTTTGGGTGCAACTTGAGATTCTTACCTAGGACAGAATTCGGCTCTGTTCCAAAGGCACAGATGCAGGGAGAGCCTGAGGGAACCTGAAATTTGGAAAAACTCCATTTGGAACTGAAGTATTTGGGCAGGAAGCTGGCTGATGCTAAGCTGAAAAAGAAAGAAAGCTCTCTTCAGCATCATCTCAACCCAGTAGTCCAGGCACTGAAGCAAACTGACTCCTAGCAGCACATATTAAGGTTCACAGTTATTTTAATAATAACAACAATAAATTTTTATTTATATCCCGCCCTCCCCAGCCAAAGCTGGGCTCAGAGTGGCTAACAACAGTAAAATGATACAACATTCTAAAATCATTTCATTATAAAATCAGTTCAAATCAGATTAATGGCAACCATTGGGCTAGAGTTCTGTGAGGATTGCCAAAGGAGGGGGGTCAGGCTGTGCCCTAG